GTTCGTTTGTTGGTTTGTTTGTTTGTTTGTTTGTTTGTGTGTGTGTGTGTTTGTTTGCGTGTTTTTTTGTGTTTGTTTGCGTGTGTGTTTGTGTGCTGTGTTCTGCGTAGTTCTCTCTGACGTGCGCTCACTCCCGCTGCATTCAGTCAGACAGTTCCAGCCCACAATCACAGAAGCCACGACTCCGCCGACAGCCGTCACCCGTGTTCCAAGCCACATAGCATCACGAAGCCCTAGCGCCCGACTTTGTGAGCTCCCTCTGTGCCATGCCGCGGGCTGTGACTCAGACGCACACTGGAGACCGCAAGAAACGAACGAATCCACAAGAGCTGCACCTCCAGCAAAGGCAGGACTGCTGCACAACCTGGGCCAGGCATCATCAGAACTTCAAAGCGAGCGACTTGCTTGCATCGCAGCTTTCGGATTCAGGAGAGAAGAATCGATTAGCATGATTGTCGTTCATGTGCATTGTAAGGCCAGGCGCATGCTCGCGAGCTTACACAACCTGTGCCCATATTTGGCTTTACCTGAGGTTCTTCGGTGGAGTGAAGGCGCAGCTTTGAGTTGTTCAGGTGATAGGTTCTGCAATCGCGACTGGTGCGTGCGGCATGCTGGCTAGAGTCTAGAGCCACAATGCCATGCGAGGAAAGCTCCATGACATGTTGCTGTGGAGGGAGGATGGCGAAGACGACCACCAAGGTGCCATGGAGCGTATTTGCTTGGAAATGGATTTCATGAGGTTCCTTGGTGTTAACCCAGGCGTACCAAGACCTTGAAGAAGCCGAGCGAGCTTTGGCATCAGCTGCGAACGGCGAGTCTCGGTTGAAGACTGCCCGTGCATACATCGAGGCACTATCGGCCAAGCCACAGCGGCGAAGTGTGTCAGTGCCGAGGAAAATCTCGACGGCCGGCCTTTGGCGGATGCTGGAGTCAGATCCGAAGAAGCTCGAGCGACAGGAGCTCAGAGTAACACAGTCAGCTTTTCCGGTGAAGGCCAAAAGATCATTAGGTCCATTAGGTCGGGGAGATTGGCCAAGTGTACACTTGATGCTTTCAGAACACAGCGCAGAGCGTGAAGTGCAAGCTCGCCTTGACAAAGCGCGAATGCTGACTGGGATGGCGAATCCCCGGCCCTATATGCAGAAGAACCACGGCAGTCACCCACAACAGCTCGCAACAGACTCCGAAGCCTTGAATGCCAGCTGGATGCAACATATCATAGACGATACCTTAGTACCCTAGCAGGCTTCGTCAAATTCTTTTTCAGCACTACAGTACGAATGTGGTTCCTTCGCAGCCATAGCTGTCAATGAGTTGCTGATGGAATTCCCTGCCCCTTTCCCAGGTATTTGGATCCGTTGACGGAAAGAGGTGCAGTTGCAACATTCGTTGTTGTGAGCTGTAATGTAGCTGCGTGGGTCGCTGGTCAGGACCCGCAGATATTCTTGAGAGAGAAGGCCCCATAGACGCCGAAGAGGTAGACTCTGTGCAGAGCAGCTTGGCCGACTTACATAGAAAGCTGAAGACGGCAACGAAGCTTCGGCCGAAACAAGGTGCTACTACCAGGACGGACTTTCCAAGTCCTCCCGGGGAGGCCAATGATGGCTTTGCAATTGCACTTCACATTTTGCGGAGTGTGTTTGACCGTCTAGGGCTCGATGCTGCCAGTGCTTCCAGTCCCTCAGCCGAACGAATGCTCAGGAGATCTGCACAACCAGCTTCGGATGTGCAAGTGTTGTTGCAAAGTCAGTGCGTCGGCCGCAGTTGCCAAACCGAGGTTATGCTCCTTGCAGGCAGGTGCTTGCTGTCGGATTGGCTTTGCATGCGAGCCCCGTGTGCGCTGCTGTGAGGCAGGCAAGCTCCAGACTTCTTCTGAACGCGCTAGCGGTGGCGAAAATGATGGCATGGAGCTGTGCCAAGCCTGTGCTAGTATAACTGTGGCCGCAAGGGTTGCGGCCGATATGCATATCTTTCATATTTGATGCCGCGGGCTTTGAGGACATGCGATGTGGTCGGGAAAGATGGGAACGACTAGGTTAGAGTGGCAGCGAAAGAAGATAGATCCGCCGGATGAACTGATTGATACCTACATACCTAGAGTCGAAAAGCCCCTGTGCATGGGTTTGGTGCCATAAGCTGCATAGATGACAGTTTGGCGTGTAGCTTGGATTAGTAGACAAGCCGAATAGAGGCACAAGTGCACAAAGTTAGTCACACATATCATGCTACATAATGACCGTACGGGCAGGTGTAAAGCATTCAAGGGACAGGACGACTCTCTTGGATCACGGCTATAGCTATAGGTACAGCTAGAACTACTTGGATACAACAAATCGATACCAAGCTGGATATGCACGTGAATGGGTAGGCTTAGTTTTTTGTCAGAACATCATAAGCTGTCCAATGTTTAAGCCAGGCGCACCCTACCAGCGAGTACAAAGCAGCAAGCTTTCGGCAAAGATGGGTCCAATAGGTTCAGTGCTGAGCTTTTTGTAGCTCTGTCACTCCTGCGCTCCGGGCCCTGATCTGGCACGAACCTTGGCAGAAGCAGTATTTTGCAGCTTGCGCCCGCTGGCTCGGAAGTGGAAGTGGCCTCAGGCCAGAGTTCACATGGCATCTTGCTGGCCGGCTGTCTGTGCTTGTGCGACTGCTGTGCAGCTCCAGTGGGCAAGAACATCTGCGTTCTTGCAAGGTACGCTGGGGTTCTTCGCTCAAACAGGGGCAAGCGATGCACTGCCTCTTGCGCTTCCAGTGCCCTTCGCGCAGGCTCGTAGATAAGCCGCAGCTGGCAGAGCCACTCGAGATTCAGGCCCTGATAGGCCAAGGTCTCGGGACGGGTCCAGATGTGCAAAGGCAGCGCTGTGGGCTGCTGAGCTGCCAGCCCTTCGCCTATGTGACCTCGGTGTTGATGATCGGCAGGAGGCAAGTTGCCGTCACATGTCGGAACCCCATGCTGACACAATGATATATTTTTCGAAGCATGTGTGCGAACATTTTGCAAATAGAGATTCGCGGGCGATTGCAGACAGCGTCAATGCAAGAGCTGAAAGGACACTGCGGCTTTCCATGTGCCTGGCGGGCTGTTGGGAATTCGGAATAAGCATGAATCATGAATGAGCTACATCTGCCGGCCAGGGCTGCCCAGCTCAGCCCGAGCATGGCGGTGCCGGGTTTCTTTCTACTGTCTTCACGTGGCGGTGCCTCGGTTTTTCTCAGGCGGTGTCATGCAGATGCCCACTGTATTGCGACAGTCACTCCCTGTTCGATGTCATCCTCAGCTTATGGGATGTAGTCAATCAATCTTGATCGGGGGCGTCAATGTGAATCGTCGTGGTCGGCGTCAGCCTCGTTCTCATGGCAGTTTTGTTGCCTTGTTCCCCGTTAGAGTAAGCAGTTGTAAAGTTACGAGTAATCTCCACCTCTGTATCATATGTATCCGACAGTGCAGTGCAATGCCCTTCATGACTGTATGTATTTGGCTCGAGGCCATGAAAAAGGCCCCTTGCAGTTCGGGCTTGATTTCTGAGGTTCGGAGTTTCCTTTGGTTTCGCCGTCCCTCTTCCGTGATCTTATCCTACCCATCCTTCCTGGTGTTGTTGGTTGGGGTCGGATTAACATAAGCCTCATCAATATCCTGACTCTGCATCTCTGCTGCCTCAGACATATCGCCTTGCTCTTCTGCTGTGCTTTGGAAATGCCATTGGTTCAACCCACGCATCGCGAATTATGGTTTTTGCATCCTCATCCTCGCAATCCTGGTTCGGGCAAGAGTCATGATATGGAGATGTTCGGATGCTCTCCTGGCGTCAGAAAGTCTTGGGTGTGTGACCCGCTTTCATCTTCAGAAAGAGTTGCAGTTGTCTGCGGAGCTTCGTGGCTGACGCGCCTCGGTGTAGGCTTTCCATGCTGTGAACTCGTCCTGGCTATGACCGGTTTTGCCTTGCGAAAATTGCACTCGGGTGAGGATTCTGGGCTGCAGGGCGAGGCAGCGAGGATGTAGCTATTAGCAGCTAGATCAGAAGACTGAAGAGGTACGTCCTGAACAATCTGCGGGCACTCCTGGCCGCCGAGGCGGCTCTTCGTTGGGCTCTCTGCTAATGCTCTGATGCTCCGAGCTTCCAGGCGCCAGGCAGTTCGTCGCTTCCGAGTGGGGCAGCGCAAGCCATCCTCTCCCTGCTGCAAGCTTTTGTGCCTTGCTAAAGTTAGAATTGCTTAGATGATTTGAATTTATTCCCGGCAGATCGAGACAGAATGTGTGAATCACGGAGGATCGTCTGATGCAGATGCCGATTGTCGCACAACTGGCAGACAGGTGCTGAGCATAGGCTCAGAGTTTTTCAATTTTGTCGTGTGCAGAGGAGTTGTGTCTTGGCTGGGCGTCTTCTCAGGACATTGCCATTGCGGCTCGTCAGCTTCTGACCGATCTCAGGCCTAGCGAGACTTTGGTGCTGTCTGCTTTGGTCTTGGATGGTTCTGCCTGAGCCCGAAGGCCACACTTACAAGCTCGACCACCTGTCGTTCTCATGGTTCCAACGCGGCCGCCTACTGCCACCATCCAAAGCTTGCAAGTGCTCGCAGGATCTTGCTCCCGCGCTTTCTGAGCCCACAACAAAACAGAGTCAACAACTAAGGCACTTTGGCCGGTATTGGACATGGCCAGCTGATGGTCGGACCAGCATCCGACTTATACATACTGCATATTTCGGTTTGAGTCGTGCAGCCTAGCACAATTCAGGCTTGCGCGATGCCGCCTTCACATTGCGTACTGGGGCTAAGATGCCGGCGATTGGCTTTGGTACCTGGCGCCTGTGGGCGAAGGATGCGTACCAGCCCGTCCGCTGGGCACTGGAGGTAGGCTACCGGCACATCGACACGGCTGAAGGCTATGCCAACGAGGCAGAGATTGGCCGTGCAATTCTGGACAGCGGTGTCCCCCGGGGCGAGATTTTTCTGGCAACAAAGGCCTCATCAGTGCCAAAAGGACTTGCTGACATTTCCTATGCATCTGATATTTTTACATTCCAGCTTGCGCAGCTAGGGACGGATTATGTAGACCTGTACATGATGCACACACCGCCATCCGATCCGCAACTGCTGCAACAAGTATGGAGAATTATGGAGTCTTTCTACGAGCAGGGCCGGGCAAGAGCACTTGGCGTGTCCAACTGTGACGTGCGAGACCTGCAGCAGATTCTTGAGTTCGCAACCGTTCCTCCTGCTTATGTGCAAAACCTGTTCAAGATCTATAAGCCCGGTGAGCAGATTCCAGTCGAGGATGTTGTTGCCTTTGCCCACAGAAATCATTTAGTCGTTGTGGGATACTCAGTTCAAACAGAATGGCCACACATCATGGTGCCATTGCAAGATCCACACCTTCTGACGATTGCCAGCCACGTGGGTAGAACACCTTCCCAAGTCTTGCACCGTTGGACTCTTCAGCGTGGTGTCGGTGTCATCCCAAAATCGGCGAAGCGTGAGCGAATTTTGGAAAACTCGCGACTTCTGGACTTCGAGCCACCCAGCGACATGATCCACGACTGTAGTGAATAAGAAATTGGCATAGTCCGCGGCAGAACTTGCTGTTGCTGACGTTGTGCAAGCTTTTATGTCTAACCTGTTTGTGATATGTTTTGTGCTGCTCTGATTTCATTCTGAAAGCTCGCGTCCTCAGGCTTAATTGAATTTTTTGGAGAGACCGCAAAGCAACGCTGCTCAAGTATACTCAAGTGTGGTCCAAGGCTGACAGACGAGATGATGCGACTTCTGGATGGCTTAGCTACACTTTCCGAATCCGGTGCGAGTGAAATCAAGCCACTGCAGGAGGACAGTGGTCGCACCAGAATCAGTGCAGTACTTCAGTCTGGTGAATCCATGTAGCCGTGCAGGCGCTACGGCATTCAGACTCAGCCAAGGCGTAGGCGTAACTCCTTGCGCAGATACCCCAACGACAAAGCTCCTGAGAAAAAAAGGGTAACTCCTACTGTGCAGGGGGACACAGCATGTCACTGGGACT